GGGATGATGTTCAGTTTAAAAGTTCAGTTCTCATTATTCTACCATGGGCTGCTGGTGCTTTGCTACCACCAGATCTCCATCTCCTGGATCCCCACCGAGCACCTTTCCAGAAAGGAAACCTTCCTTGGCAGTCTCTGCTCCAGCCTTGACCCCAATGTATTTTGGAGGTGTGACGAGGCACCAGCTGTGCTCCATCAGAAGCAGCCACAGGGCACAGAGCTTGCCAGGCTGAGCCACTAGAAATCCCCTGGCCTGGAGGCTTCAATCCCAAGCAGGTGTTTGGAAGGAATCTGGTGACTTCTTTTAGCACTTTGTGGGATGATTAACCTTATACCCCCACCACTTCCAGCAGCTGCTTGGATACCTTAAGGAAATTAGGAGACTTGGCACTGTCTGTGTCATTCCTCCACCCAGCCCAGAGCTGAGCCCAGCTGGGAGCAGAAGTGATTCCTTCTCCAGGACCATGTGCATGAGAATTAGTCCTCACAAATTTCATCCCTGAGGTTAGCCAGTGAGATCAGACTGCTTAAGGCTGCGCAAACCCAGTGGTAGAGCTGAGAGGAGATCTGGGGAGCTGCTGGAGGCAGGGACCTTTGCAGGGAGCCACAGAGGAGCTCCTGAGCAGGAAAAGAGCATCCTGAGCCCTTGCTGTGCCCCTGTGGTGTATAGAGAGAGCACGGACCACTGTGTTTCCCTCACAGGATGTTGGATGCTTCTCAAGGCTGAAGGGCTTGAAGGGCTGGCCAGGTTGGTGGTGCCTGCCTGTTACCTGTTGAAGCTCCTGAAGTCCCACGCAGGGGGTCTCATGGGTGGCTGGTTCTTGCCATACACAGCATCATCCCTGTCACCAAAGAGCTCCTGCCACGGGCACCGGTAGCCCTTGGGGATGGCGGTGACGTTGAACTTCTCCGGGGGGATTTCTTTGAGGGGGCTCGAGTACCCTGTGCAGGGGGAGAGACAGCATGGGCTGCTGGGGCTGGGAACAGCCTGGCATTTGCATGGCCGTAGAGGACCTGCCTGCTGGGGCCAGGACTGCATATCTATAACATAAATATATATTTATATATTTGTATATGTACAAACTCTGGGGAAGGGTTTGGGACAGAACCCTCGGCAGGCAGCAGCTCGCTACCTCCAGCCCCACACTGCTGAGATCACAGCGGTGTCAGGTTTAGGGTGCAGGCAGGATTTATTTACCTGGGGCCAGAGCACTGGGGTTCAGGACTTTGCTCATATGCAAGACTTTCTCTGTCTTCTTGGGCACTTCTGGGGGGCCACCCTGGGGCGATGCTGCCACGTGGAGCTCGGAGTGATAATTCTGCTGGCCCTCGGCATTCTCCTCTGCCTGCGGGGGGGAGAGTCAACAGGCACAGGGCACTTCCCCTGCCCCCACTGGGACTTTGGAGGTGGCTGAAAGCACCTCAAAGCTCCCTCCATCTACTCACCGTCCCTTCATTCGCTGGATCTCCTTTCTCAGTGCGGTGTGAGCCCCCTGGCCCTGGGAGCTGCAGGAGGTAAGGAGAAGGGTTAGTGAGTGGATACTGAGCTCCTTGCTTGCCCATCTCCATGCCCAGCCCACCAAGCCATCTCTCCTCTCGCTTCATCTCAGCGTAGCAGCCGACTGTGGCTGCCCTGTGCAGAGACCCCCAGCCCTGCCAGGGATTGCTTCCCTGGAAAGGCTGCAAGAGCTGGGGAAGGGCTGTCTCAGACCCACCTCCCTGTAGCCACTGGGATGCTCAAAAATGAAGCGCTGCATCCGCCTCTGGCGCTGCTGGAAGAGCTGGGAGCCGCGGTTATTCCGCAGGGAGAGTTCCTCGATCATCAGGTCCTGTGTTGTGCTCATCTTCTTGCCCAAGTCCAGACGGGGCTCTGAGGAGGCCAGGAGAGAGCACAGCCACAGCTGAGGATGCTGCAGTGCTGGGGAGCCCCAAGCCCAGCACAGACAGTGTGTCCCCTCATCGGGGTCCCTGTTGCGTGGCTTAGTTGTGTCAGAGACTGGTGTTTCCTCAGTGTGAGGAACTATCAGGGAATTAGCTCAGCTCCAAAGGCTCAAACAGCCTCACTTGCCCCATGCATGGGTCAGTGGCCTCAACCAGAGCTGGGTCTGGCCCCTAGGCAGGGAGGGCAGCACTGCCCTGGGGCTGATGGCACCCCTGCACCCTCTTACCATCTGCAGGGCCCGGTTTCATGATGGTCATCACTTGCTGCCGTGCTCCTGGGGCAGCTCTGTGGCAGGGGGATGGATTCTGCCTGGCTGGAAGAGAGAGGCACCCCCAGAGTGACACCAAGCATGGGGACATGTCAGCCCCAGGCGTGCCACAGAGAGATGCCAGATTTCAGCTGAGCATCACCCCTGTCCAGCATCATCCCTGAGCATGTCCCCTCAACAGCATCATCCCTGAGCATCATCCCTGAGCACGTCCCCTCAACAGCATCATCCCTGAGCATCATCCTTAAGTATCTCCCTGCGCCGCTCTCCATTCCCTTCAACAGACATAGGGAATGTTCAAAGCATGTTGCCCCTCAGCCCCTGCCTGTCATGTTTCCTTTCTGCCTTTCTTTAGGGCAGAAAGTATCCTCAGCTCTATCCTTGCCCACAGTGAGCCAGTGTCCCTGTGCCCTGAGTGCCCCCGGAGCAGCACCTGCTGCCGCAGCCCACGGGGCCAGGGGGGCCCTGGCTGCCCCCCCCAACACCTCTGCCTTAGCAGAGCTATTTTCAGCTGTTCGCCCCAAGGGTGCAGGAGCTGTAACCCTGACCCTGCAGGGAGCTGGTGAGCCCAGCCAGTGGCGAAGAGGGGCACGGGACTACTGGGCTGGGTCGATCCTTTGTGGAGAGGCAGCTGGAAACCAGCCCTGTTGTCAGCCCCCCAGGCTGCCCACCTGCAGCAGCACAGGGCACTCGGCTCAGTAAATGGGAGCTGTTTGACCCCATTGAGTGCATCTGGTGTCCCTCACCTCAGGCTGATGCTGGGCAGTTTCCCCTAAGGGCCCTGGAGAGCAGAGGGTCCCCATGGGGCTGTGGGTGCCTGGCACGCAGCTCCCTGCCAGCCCTAAGCTCAGCTTTACCATCTGCACAGTGAGCCCCAGACCTGCGTCCCATCCTTCCCTCCACCCCACTCCAGGGAGACTGCACCCTGACCCCACAGTCGTGATGTCCCCACCACCAAGGCTGGGACGTCCCCAAGCCCTGTGCACCCACCCACCCACTGCCTCCCATGTGGGGACCTCACCTTCCCTACCTGGCCAGGGGATGCCCCAGATGCTGGGGAGTGAAGATGCTTCTCCTGCTGTGGAGGGTGATGAGACCAAAGCCAACCTGCAGCCACCAGTGCTTGGTGGCCCTGGGTGGCCCTTCACAGCAACCCCTGGGCTCCTGCCGCTCACCCCAACCCGTCCCGGGCTCCAGCCCAGATGCCAAGGTCCAACCACGGGACAGAAGTTATTTCTGGCTGAGAAAGGGGGCGGAGCAGGGCTGTGACCCTTGGGGACCGGGATGCCGTCACCCCAGCACGGGACAGGTCTGACCCACGGGGATGAGGATGCCATCACCCTGAAGTGGGGCTGTGACTCCTGGGGACCAGGACCTGTCACCCCAGCATGGAGCAGGGCTGACCCACGGGGATGGGGATGCTGTCACCTTGGCACGGAGCAGGGCTGACCCCTGGGGACAGGGGTGGTGGGCACATAGCAGCAGCAGGAGGTGGCCATGTGCCATGTGTTCCCAGGCCACCTTGGGGACAGATCAGAGCTAGGCTGGGTGGGATAAAGGCAGTTTATTTCTGAGCTGGGTATACAGCGGCATGGTGAAGGCAGGTTATGGTGACTGGTGGAGTGAGGGTGGGAGATATGTCCTGGGAGTGGGGGGCTGTGCTGCAGGAAGAACAGACTGCAGGGTGGAGGTACTCCAGGGAATAGGGATGGGCTGGCTCCAACAGTGTGTCCTGGGGAACAGGAAGGAGTGACTGGGGGTCCCTGAATGGGAACGTGTCCAAGCTCTGGCAGCCCAGATTCAAACTCTTTTCCAGTCCCGGTCTTATCAAGGTGTGGGGACACCAACTCATCCCCATGGGGACACTCTCCTGTGCTGACACCTCCTTCAAACCCTCTGCAACATGTACCACTTCCTTCAGCCCCCCACAGCCCCCCCATCTCTTCCCACCTGCCCTGGCTGCCACAGAGCCCATTGGTTCCTGTGTGTGCCTCCATCCTGCCAGGGTGCGGATGAGGATGGGGTGAACCTGGGGATGGGGACAGTGACAGGTACAGGATGGGGCTGTCCTTCTTTGTTTGGGGAGGACAGGAGGGCACCTATAAACAGTCCCCTTGATGTGGCAATAAATAACTTTGGCTCATTTTGGTCACCAGGGAAGGAAGGATTTGGGAGAATTTCTTTGAGAAGGAGTCTAAAGTAAAAAAAAAAAAAAAAAAAAGCAATGAAGAACTGGGGAGATGGAATAAAAAATTAACTTTTCCTCCCCAGAATCTGTTTTCAGTTGAAACTGGATAGTTCTGGAGGCTGGGAGAAGGAACCCGGTCATGGCACACTGCCCATCCCTGCTGGATATGGTGGCTGTGCCACCCCAGCAAAGCAGAGCTGCAGTGACACCCCAGGGTAACACCTGGGAGCTGGGGACAAGGAGCTCACAGGGGACCACCGAGCCCATCCCACCCTGGCTATGTGGGAGGGGGCTGGCTGGTGGGCAGGGGCTGCTGAGGGAGGGGGCTGGCTCTCCCCACTGCCTGCTCCTGCGTGCTGATCACGCAGTCCTGCCCAGAAAGGTTAGGGTGGTAAAAATAGAGCAGGGCCACGGGATGGCGGGCGAGCAGGAGGCACCTGACCCTGCTGGCACACCGAGGGGCTGCGGCAGCTCCGCAGGGACACTGGTTTTTGGGGACCTCAGCCCCGAGGGTTGGGGTGTTCCTGGTGTGGGGGGTCAGCGGGTGGCATCACCCAGGCTGACAGGTCCAGGAAGGGGCTGGCTCGGCTGGGGCTGGCTCATCTAGGAGGTGCAAGGGGCCCCCGAGGGCAGACCCCCCGTCTTCAGCCGCAGGCTGCCGGTCCAGCCCCGGGGACAGAGGTTGAAGCTGTGGATTCCCGGGCTCTTGGTCCCCGAGTCTTCGGAGTCGAGGGAGACGTCCGAGTCTGTCGGGGACCGGGAGGTGCAGCGCTTGGCTGGGCATCGCCCGCCCACCACGGGGGATGGCAGGGGGCTCTTGGGGATGGGGGACAGCCTGGAGACGGGGCAGGAGGACGTGCTGGGTGGTAGCAGGAGCCGGCGACCCTCTGCCCAGGCGGCTCGGGGCATGCCGGGGGAGGCACAGACTGGGGCTGCCTGCCCGGGGCGATCGCAAGGGGCTTTTGTGGGTGGGCGAGGGCTGCCAGGCTCCCCAGCACGCTGCTGGCAGCCTGCAGTGCGGCGCTTGGGCCCCAGCCGGGGGGACTGGGGCAGGCTGGGGGGGCCGGGGAGATGGGGGTGAAGGGCCGGGAGCCCTCCAGCCCCACGGCTTTGGGAGAGGAGCTCTTCCTGCGGGCAGCGTTGATGATGTTCCTGGCGAGCCGCGCTTGCATCTGCCGGCTGGCCCGGGGGTCCGCGTCCTGCCGCAGCGGGGACAGGGACCTCTCGCTCCATGGAGGTGACATGGGAGGTCCCTCATCCAGTTCGGGCACCGAGGCCGGGCTGGCCCAGCCGTCCAGGCTGCCCGGGCGCCGTGCCAGCCGGGGCGTCCAAGTGGGCGATGCAGGGAGGGACGACCGCCTGTCCTGGAGAGGGACAGAGAGCGGGTTAGTGACCCCCACTCGGGGGAACGCAGGGACAGAGCAGGGGGACAGCGGCAGGAGGGGTGCCAGGGTAAGAGTCACGCTGGCTCAGCCCCACAGGAGCTGGGGATGCCTCCTCGTGCATTGCACCCCTGCAAGGGCTCCCCAAAACGCATTTGACTCTTCACCCCCTTGCCTGTCAAGGAGGTCGGGGCAGGCTGAGCCTGCCATTAATCCTCCTTGCCCAAAATACGTCCCAGGCCCTCTCACTACCTGCAGCTTCCTAAAGCCTCCCTCTGGGGGATGCTCTGAGATCCCAGGTGTCCATTGCCCAGCACTGCTCCCCAGACGGCAGAAAAGAGAAGAGTCAGGTGTGACAGCGCAGAGAGTGTATTCAGAAAGAGGGGGAAAAAAGAAAAATGCAGGAGAAATAAAAGCACAGTCAAAAGGCAACTTGGCACCATGGGGAGAGTGGTGGGAGTGAGGGATGGGCAGAGGCACGGCTGGACCAAGAGCCCCAGGCTGAGCATCACCCAGCAGCCCTGCCCTCACCACCCTCCTCATCCCAGCACATCCTTGCTTCCAGCCATGCCACACAGCACCACCCACCCCAGCTCCAGCACTGAGCCCAGGGAGGGACAGGCACTCCACAGTGTCCCTTGTCCTGGCACCACAGGACTTTACTGTTCCCGAGGGATGCAGCTCTTCCTCCACAGTGAGGAAGCAAATGAGGACAGATCCTGAAGGAGCAGCAGAAGAGCCAGGAGCAGGCACAGTGAGGTGGAAAGGTGGGGTGTCCCCTCCAGGTTTGCTTTGGTAGGAGGCCGAGAGGAGCCGCAGGACAGAGGGGATGCAGATGAGCAGGCAGAGCTCTGAGCGCTGGAAAGGCGGGAGGTGAGGAAAGGAGGGAGCCAGAGGTGCGATGCTCTGTACAGTTTCCAGACGAGAGAAGAGAGAAAGCACCGTCAGCCCCCTGGCAGCACAGGCAGGCTCCTGATGGCTGTTTGGGATCCTGTGGGCTCTATGCCCCAACTCCTGCTGCCTCCCTGGGGCTGCTCAGCTCCCATTTCACTGGGGGCTCAGCAGTGCCTTCCACCCACTATCCCAGCACTGCAGCCTCCCAGCCACTTCTTTTTTCTATTTCCTTTTCTTTTTACCCCCTTTTTTTTGCGGTTGGTTTGGCTTTTGGTGCTCCCATGAGCAGTTAGGGAAGACTCAGCCTACGACCCCTGTGTTTTTCTCTCTGCCACCACTACTTGTAATAAAAAGAAGGCTTCCACACCTGGGGCTCGATGCCGGCATTCCTGGTGGAGTAGGAGGGCCGGGGTGCCTGGAAGCCTGCCTTCCCCCGGGGCGGCAGCAGGCGGCATGGGGAGGCCAGGAGCACCTCAGCCGGGGCTCCGGGACTGGCACGGCTCTCGTGAGCCAGGGGCAGAGCCCCGGCAGTGCCAGGGAAGGGGCTGGAGGTGGTCTGGCCAGCACTGGGCACGACAGGGGGATGCCAAACAGGGGAAGGAGGCAATGGAGAGGTCGGGCAGGAGGCTTGCTGGGGGTAGGGGTAGGCGTCTGGAAGAGAGGGTCTGGGTGGAGGCATCTCTTGGGGCATGGACCTTGACGGCCCCTTAGATGGGGAGAGGATGAAGAGAGAGGACTGGAGCTGGTAGGGTTGGTGCTTGGAGATCTCCAGCTCCTTCTGGGAGACCTCATTCTCCATCAGGTTGTTGCCATACAGAGATGCAGGGGGGGTTTTGGAGGGCCTGGAGGGACTCTTGGAGGGGCGTCTGGAGACCATGGGTGACAGGTAAGCATTGTTGTCATATTTCCAGGAGGGAGGCAGAGACATGGTGGGCGATGGGCACCGCAGCAGCTCAGGCTGGGAGGGAGCCTCGATGATAAACTTCTCCATCCTGGACTGCCGGCGGGCAAAGAGCTCAGCCCCCTTCCCTCTCGCTTCACTGAGGATGTGGCTGGGCTGCGGCTTCTGCTTGGGCTGGATGGTGGGAGACTTGAGGCAGGAGGACCATGCCGGAGCATCCTCAGCTGGCGGGAGGTGGTGCCCACTCCTGGATGCACTGTTGGGGACAAAGTTGGCAGCTTCAGCCCCAAGGACGAAGGGCTCATCCTCTGCACTGGGCTCTCCCTGATCTTTCTGCTTCTTCCTGCTGTCTGCACTCTGAACCAGGTCCAGCAGGTCAGGATTGGGGCCCAGTTTTGGCTTCTCCACAAAGGTGAACATGGACTTTCTGCTTCCTCTCCGGGCAGCCGACTCCTCCAGGATCCCTGTTTTGGGCAAGGGGTTTGGTCCACTCACCCCACAGCCCAGGAGGGGACCTGGCAGCATCTTCTGCTCCTGAGAGGGGTACAGGGCTGAGTAGGCAGGGGGGGAGCGGACACGGGTGAGCGGTGGGGGGCTGCTGAGGGTCTCCGCGTAGGTGGGCGGTGGGGGCAGCTCTGGGGCAGGGGGTTCCTCCGCTGGCTGGCTGCTGGTGGGGGACGCCTGGGTGCCGAAGGGTCTGGCTGTCCGGTTCTTCACAGGCTTGGGCTTGGCCAGGGTGAGATGGACCTCGTAGTACTGCCGGCCCTGCACCCCGTTCTGCTGCTGGCCACCTGGGGATGCCATCCCTGTGGCTGTCCCCGCTGGCGCACTGGGCACCTCACCGGGCACCTCACCGGGCACCTCACTGGGCACGTCAATGTTTTTCCCCTCCCCAGCGTGCTGTGGCAGGGCAACAGGTGCCATGCTTAGCCCCGCAGGGGCTCCTGCATCCCCGAGACCCTCCATCCCTCTCTCCATCCCACTGGCCGCCTGCTCCTGCACGCCATTGGTGGTGGCTGGTGCCATGTTCTCCTTCAGGTAGACGCTGAGTGGGACCTGCTGGGCTTCAGCAGGCGGCTCCTGGCACGGGGGTGCGTTTGTCCGCATCCTCTCTCCCGGGTTGCCGGGCTGGTCAGGCTCCGCCTTCATCCCCTGCCCCTCGCCCTCCTCCATGGCCGCTTGCCGGGGCTGGGGCGCAGGGCTCAGCAGCAGCCCCCCGCCATTCCCAGCCCCCGTGAGCCCGTCGACGCGCTGCCTGCGGCGGTGGAAGAGCAGGACGCCCTTGGAGCTGGGGCCGGGCGCCGTGGTGAGCTGCGCCGCGATCCTCTGGCTCCGCGCCTTTGCCTCCTTCAGCTCCTTCTCTGAGAGGCTGGCGCTGCGGGAGAGACCTGAACAGAAGGGAGACAGGGGTTAGGGGGGCTCAGTGGGGATGTGGGGTCTCAACCCTCCCTGCCCAGGACTGGCATTCCAACTCCTTTCCTGGCAGCTGGGGGAAGATGGGAAAGATGCTCTGGGGCTGGGGTGCATGGGGGTGATAGCACACTTCGGGGTAGTGGGGACCCAGCCCAGCACCCCACCAAGATGCTGGGACAGATGGGAAAGGCCAAGGGACACATAGGGACACTTGGGACCCCTATCCCACCCCATATTCCATCTGGGCTCTGTGCACCCACCATGGTGACCGTATGGGATTTCTCTGAGGACTCGGCAGGTCTCCGGTTGCAGATCACATGGCTTTGGCTCTGGCTTGTGGAGGCAGTGGGCAGGGAAGAGGCCAGTGTGTGTGTGTCTCCCCCAGACCCTCACCCCAAATCCCGCCATTCTGAGCCCCAAAATAAATCTGAGGTCAGCAGGGAGATGCCAGCCTGCCACAACCTCATGGCAAGGCTGGGGGCCAGTCCGTTGGGGGATTGATGCACGGAGCAACACGAGATGGCAGCAGCTGACAGAAGCTGTGCAGATCCTGACCAGCTGGACACAGACATCGACACAGCAAGGAGCCACCCTCTCGCCTCAGGACTCAACACAAGTGCTAAAAACAACGTGCTAAAAGCCTGGCACAAACCCCGTGGCGAGCAGCCGAGTGCCGCTGGGCTTCTCCTGTGCTGGCCAAAGGTCAGGGCACCAGCCCTTCCCGAAGACTGAGAGGATGTGGAACTGCCGGGAACACATTTTCTCAGGGTGAGCAATTTCCTACGAGCTCACTCCAAAGTGCCCGTGGGAAGGGCAGTGTCCTCAGTCCTGACGAGGCCACTGCTGGGCACAGACTCCAGTGCCGACCATCAGCATCACATCTGCACCCACCAGGGGTGCAGCCCCCCCTCCAAAAGCTGCCAGGATGGCTGTGATGGGTGTCCCTGCTCCGGCCTCAGCAGGGAGGTGGGTGGCCAGCCTGCCCCAAGCCCTGCTCCCCTTCCCTTCCCATCCCTTCCCGTCTTCTCTTCCTTCATGTGTTTCTGATTTTCTTGCCTTCTGTGCCGCTTGGGAGCCTTCCAGGATATTTTCAGCAGTGGCTCAGCCTACCAGCGAGGGAAGGGATAGATGACTAAGCCAAATCCTTCCAGCAAGCCCACGGTAAGCAGGAGGGCTCTTAGAAGCTGGGCACCTCTTCTTCCTCCTACCCTCCTACCTCCCTCAACACCCATCAAGTCCCTACACACCTCTGAGGTGTGCAGGATGCCCTGGATGAAGCCTTCAGGCTGCCTGACAGGAGGGTTTTGGCTGGGCACAGGGCAGAGGAGGAGGAGATGCCAGTGGAAACTCTCCTGGAGATGAGGAGCCCGTCCGCAGGGGCGATGCCGGTGGCCAGCATCCCCCCCGGTTCGCGCCCGGCATTGTTTAACGCCCCATTTCTGTTTGCTTTGGCGGCGGCGCAGAGCGGGGCCGCGGTTTCCTCCGGCCGGGCTGGCTGGAGGGCGGCCAGCACCGCGGGCCCCGCGCCGCGGGGTCACCCTCGCCGCCTTTATCTCCGAAACGGAGCAGAAATACGGCCAAGGAGCCGTTGAGAAACAAGCCACAGGCTCCAGATGTCTGCGGGTTTCGTGCTCCGAGCTGAGCATCCCCGCTCCCTCGGAGGCCAGGGCTGCCTAAGAAGCCGAGCTCTCGGCGGAGCCATTTCGCAGCCTCTCGCTCCTGCTACTGCCTTTTAACAGCAATGGAGGGGCCCGGGGGGATCTCCTCCGTGCTGGAGGGATGACTCAGCTCTTGGCCAGCCCCTTCCTGCTTGGACTAGCTGCTAGATACACTCCCATGTAGCCAGGACCAACACCGGGATTTGTCCCCTGGGATTTTGCCCCCAGGTATCCCCATCCTAGGCATGGGCATCACTCTGGGCCAGGATGTGCTGCAGGGTGGAGTCCCCCACCTGAAATCCTCTATCTAGAATCCATTCCCATCCGTATGCACCCCTTCACTCTTCCAGCAGCCTCTCTGCCCCTGCCCAGCCAGCATCCACCATTCCTGGGCTGGTCTACCTGAGTCCACTGGAAATTAATCCCTCAGGATACTACGGTGGATGCTGGGGTTAAGAATTGCTCTTCACATTCAATTTTTATCACAAGGATGGAGAGCACCAAAGCCTCTGGCAGTCCAGAGGAAATTGCAGAGATCTCCCTTCCCTGCTCCAGCCTGAGCTGTGGGATTAGGTTATTCATCCCAGAGCCTTTATCCCTGCTGGAGAGGTCCTGCCACCTGGGGCAGCTCCTGCACCTCTCGCTCCCCTCCCAGCCATGATGTTTCCCATCCTCCTTCCCCGCCATCCACTGCCAGCTGGGAGCCTGGCTGGTTCCTTTCCCCAGCCCCAGGCAGGTGTGAGGGAGCTGAACTTGCTGAGAATGTCCAGGTGCTGGGGAGGAGGAGGAGGAGGGGTGTGAGGCTGCTGGAGCAGCGTGGGGAGGAGGCAAAAGTAAAACTATGTGTGGCCAAGGGCGCCGGGGGCTCGTGCAGCACTGGGGTTTCCGCCCATTAACGGGAGTCCAGTCCAAAATCTGAAGCGTGACTGGCTCTTCTTGTGCTCTTCCGTGCTTCCTTCCTTCCTTCCCACTGTACTTGCCATGACACTGTCCTTCAGGATGGAAACATCTCCCCCCTCCAAATCTTCCAACACAATGAGCACCACCAGCCTTCTCCACTTCTTTGTCCCCACACGGGGTCCATGTTTGGTCTCCTGTGGTCCAGGGATGCTGGAGAAGGACACGCTCCCTGTGCCCTGCACAGCTGCTGGACTCCTGGCACACGTGAGCACCCCAAGTGCTATTCCAGTTCAACGCACATCAATTCCAGCCAGAGGAGCCTATAGATCTCTATCTACATGTGTATATAGGCACTTGCTCCGTAGGTTTTCCATTGCTCCAGGGGTGACTTCTAGAACATCCTCCAAGTGCAGGGCTTAACAGCTTCTTACCGAGCTGTCAGTCATCCTTCCCACAGCACGTACTGTGCTCTCTCCCCCAGAGTGAGGATGACGAAGGTGATGAAAGGCATTTTTGTTGCTCTCCCTTCCTGGTCAGATGGGGAAAAAAAATTCCTTCCGGCTCACCTTTCCATGCAAAGGATGGATCCCCCTGAATGGCGCTACTGCAGAATGTCTGAAGTCCACCCAGGAAAGGCAGGAGTCACCATCTGACCCCAAATGAAGGTGAAGATGTATCAGACATAGCTTGTGGCCTATCCTGCCCTGAGATGGACTGGAATGAGGATTTGGACCCAAATTTCAGGGAGGGGAGATACTCCAGGGCCTGCTGAACTGACAGATTCAGTGGAAGTTGATGATCTCAACGTGGCTGGGATGTCACAGGAAGGAAAACAGTGACTTGGAAGTTGTGCATGGTGAGAAGTCCTTGTAGGGAGAAGCCAGGAGGTACCCAAGTCCCAGTGGGACCAGCAGGATACAACAGGCCATGTGAAATCTTGGAGTCAGAGCTGGCAGGTGACTCCAAAGTCTTCACTCTGTCCCTAGCCTGCTCTGAGTTTGGATGCTCAGCCCATCTTGGCCATGCTCAGGGTGTCCCACCAGACCACCCACCAGCAGAACACAGATCAGAAACCCCGAATCCTCCTTTGCACAGCACACCACTCACCATCCATAACCACCAGGTGCTTTTCCACCTTTTCAAAAGTTCCTTGGCTGCTGTGGGTCAACCCAAATGGTGCATCTTGCCAACAAAATCTCACTGGTAAAACCAGGAGTGAAACCAAGACAAACCCCACCTCCAGAGGGACGTGGTGCTGTGTCACCTGCCATGGACCCCAGCAAACATTCACAGCTGGGCATTCTGGGGAGGGGAGATCCAGTGTTTTCACCCAAACATTGAGGGCTTTGGACACAGAGGAAATGTAAGCAGGTTTTTTGGCAGAGCAGCCAACTGGCCCTTTGCCCCAGCTACAGCTGTGCAGGATTTTTTGCAATGTGCACCAACTCACACACATTTAAGTCTGAGCACGCACTTCCCTCCAGCTCCCAGAGTTATCCCAAATAATCTGCTGCTAGGAAAACACGGTGGGTAGCACAGACAGGCAGCTGAGCTAGCTAGAAGCGTATATGATTCAAACATATGGATAAAAAGATGACAATTTTCTGCCTAACTCCCAGCTTCCAACCCTCCTGTACCCCATATATAACACCTCCATGAAGGTTTTACCCACACTCGCCCTTCAGACCCAAAAAGCTCTGGCTCAGGCAGTGGGTGCCATGGTGGGACCAACCTTGCCCGCCTGGCAGGACGCTCTGAGCTGGCCTCTCCTGACAGGCGCCTTTGCCAGAGACAAAATCTGGCACAGCGAGAAAATTCAATGCGCTTGCAAGTTTTCCCTGTGCTCTGTTCACAAGGGCTTTGCTGGATTTGGAGCTGTTTGCCTCCCAATGCTCCCCCCGGCTCCCAGCCAGCACCCAAATCCTACTGAAATGGCCCCACAGACTCCAAGCAGCGAATCCTGGGGCACCCATCTCCCACCCAGGAGGAGGAGAAGAGGGTGGTGGGATTAAGTTTGAATGGGGGCAGACTGCCCCTGCCCACCCCCACTTCCCGGGGGGGTGCAAGTGAGCAGCCTCAGCCCTGCATGCATCCACACTGGGCAAGAAGAGGCTGTTGCACTGCAAAAGTGGAGGATGCACCTTCTCCCAGCTGGCCAAAAACTAAGCTTTTAGCTTCGGAAAAGGGGGCTGGAGCCAGGCAGACCTCCTCCTGGCTGCCCTGACACCCGTCCATCCAGAGTGCAGCAGAGCCTGTCCTACAGCCAGGTACCCCGGGGACCCCATCCTGCCTGGGGTCCCAGCCCCACTGTGCCCACTGGTGCTTGAACTCGCTGTGACCCATCCCAGGCTGCCAGGACCCAGTGACAGCCCCACCAGGCTGGTGCCCCGAGCCAGCAGCGCTGGCCTGGCGAGAGAAGGTCAAAAGGCTCGGTGTGTTCCTGTCGGGTGGACAGAGCCGGGAGGGGAGTGGAACGAAACGGGGCCTTCGCCTGTCCCTTGCACAATCCGTAAGGGATCCATCCTGCTGGCTGCCAAGCCGAGGGACAGACCTCGTGTCCCCAGTATGGGTGGCATGGCCAGGGGAGATCATGTCCCCATCGTAGGGGGCAAGGGACATCGCCTGGGAAGACGTCCTGCAGAGCCGGGAGGTGCGACCCTGCCCCAGGGGGACCCCCACATCCCCCCACATGCCCCCGTGTTTCCTTGCTGTGCCTCCCACGCCCCACATCGGACACCCGGGTGCGGGCAGAGGGAACCGACACCTGCCCCTCTCGTTCCTAGAGAGAAACCCTGCTCAGCCCCCATCACTCACCCCTCGCCCACCACAGCACCCACGGGGGTTCTGAGCATGTACTCTCTGAACCCCTGTGCACCCCCGGAGCCCTCTGCACCCCCTGCGCACTGCCATCTCCCGGCACCCCCGCACACCCCCGGATCCCGCTACCCGCGTTGTCCGCCTCCCCTCTTTGCGCGCCCACCACAACCGTCCCCGCCCCGCCGTCACTTCCTGCACTTGCACCCTCCGCCCCTCCCGCCCCCCCCCGGTGCCCCCGTCGTCCTGCCCCAGCCCCCCCCAGCCCGACCGTAACCCGCTGGTGCCGTGTGCCGCATTAGCGCCGCCCGCGCAGCCCGACTGCACCGGGAGGAGGCGTGCGGCAGGAAAGGTGCGGCAGCTCCGCCCTCGGACGCGGGCCCGGGGGCGGCGCGGGCCGGGGGCCGGGGGTTGGCGGGTCGCCGCCGTCACTGCCCTGCCCCTGCCCGCCCGACAGACGACGCAGCCGACCGGACGGGGACGGGTCCCCCTCCCCGACACCGGCAGCCGTCCGCCGCCCCCGGTGTCCCTGCTCCTCTGCTTCTCGCCCCGGTTGGGTCTGCCCTGAGCAGCCTGAGCCGGCTGCGGGGTGAGAGCAATCGCGACATCCCCTTCCCATCCGGGGCATCCCTTACCCAGCTCTGTGCATCCCCTTCTCAGCCCGGGGCATCCCCTTGTCTCATCCTGAGGCATCCATCTCTCCCAGTCCTGCACATTCCTCTTACCCAGCCCCGAGCATCCTCTTACCCTCTTTTCCCTCCTCCCAGCACTGCTGGGGACCTGCAGTACCTTACGTTTCAGACGCTGTCGGGGACGTGGGGATTTCCCTTTCCGTAGTTTTCCCCAGTGCCTAAAGGTTTGAGGCACTTGGAGACGGGCAAAAATCCAGCACCCGTGTCACTGCCCTGAGGACCTCCTGGGAAGAGCACAGAAAGCCCTCTGCCAGGGATGGTCTGCTCCGAGTGACAAGGGGACCACAGTCCTGGGCAAGATGATCCCTGGGGAGCCAGCATCACCTCTCGCCTCCAGTACCTCACTGCCAGGCAGCGCTGTGGGTGAGACCAGTCTCACCCCCTTCCTGAGCCTGTCCACGCTGCAGGATGAGCTCTTGGCCTGATTTTTTGCCTTTCTAATTTCCTTTCTTCCTGCCCCTCTGTGCTTTTTTGTGCTTTTCTGGTTTTTGAGGGAGCCTGGCGCTGGCTCGGCAGCCCCCAGGGAGCGAAACCTTCTGTTTATTTGCACACCAGACAGAGAAACCAGTCCTGCCTCCTGCATCTCCCAGCCTCTGCCTCTACCCGGGGCTCCTGCGCTCCCCAGCCTGCCCCAAGAGGTGCCAACCAGTCCGGGCCGCCATGCCGGATATTTGGGAGCAGCCAGCCTGGCCTTGGGCTGCTGGATGGGGACCAAAGGGGCACCTGGGACCCGCCTGGGTGGGTCCACACAGCTCGAGGCGGGGCACCCGCGTGGCTCCCAGCTCCCAGGGCCAGCCCTGCATCACTTTGGGTGCAGATGGATGCAGCCTTTTCTCCTGCAGAAGCTGGATAGTGTGGGAGTTCCTGTACCCCCAGCCACCTAAGGAAAAGAAGAGCAAATCCTTGACACCTCCCAGGGATGCTCCTGCAAACGCCCTGCTGCAGGGACAGCCTCGGACAGCACCTACAAGGGCACCTGCCCTTCCCTCCCTCCTCTGCACTGAACCAAACCTCTCTTTCCCAAACCTGCAGGCTTTCTGCAAGGTCTTGGAGCTGCTCCCGGTGCTCAGGACCCTCAGTGACATCCTGCCTGGAGGCTCTGGAAAGTCTGACGGGTCCCGCAGGCAGTGGCTGGTGGTGATCTCACTTGGAGGGGGAGGAAACGGGACAGACAAACTCTTTCCAACAAACCTGTTGAGTTACTTTAAAATTCCAGGCTGGCAGCAAAAGTGCTGGATGGCGGCGCGGGTTAGGAAAATGCTGAGCCTGGACAGAGTCAGGCCTGACCTTTCCCCACCGCAGATCTGCCATCCCAGAGCAGTGAGAAATGGGAAGACTATTTGGGTCCATCTGGTTTGTGTGCTGAGCCCTGAAACACGATGCTGCTGGAGCAGCCGTGAGCCAAAAGGGCTTGGCTGAGCTTCCCAGCCTGTGTCCCATCCAGGAGCTGCTGGTTTGGAGGATGTCTGACCCTGCAAAAAGGCAGGGGAGGGATTCTGGGCACCGGGTTCCTGTTGAGCATCCCCAGCTGGTCCCACCCCACCCCACCCCACCCTGGGAGCTGCTTTGGGAAAACCACACTCTGAGCTGAGGAGCAGCATCCGATAACACCATCCCATGGGGACAGGGACACACCTGCCTCAGCGCCGTGTGGCAGCTGAGATAACAGCTGGGCAGGAGCAAAATAGAAAGAGGGGTGGAAGCAGGGTTTAAAAATGATCCAAGGCCTGTAAGAGGATGAGTTCTGTGGGAGCATCTCCCACATGGAGGTGGGGAGGTCCAGGCATGGGAGCAGCCACAGTAACCCTAGATATGCGCCTGTATTTGTGTCACCACGTCTGAAGGGACAGTCACGGGCAGAGAGGAATGGCAGGCTGTGACACAGGCTGTGAAGCGAGGCGATGGCAGAGAGCATTGTAGGAACCAACTGGCCTGAAATAAAGTGCTTAATTTTTAAACCAGGGGCTGACAGAAATGGCCCCAAGCCATTTGAGGGATGCTTGGCCACCCATAGCTGATAGGGGAGAGGTGTCCCTGTCCCAGGCAGAGCCCCAGGAGCTGGCCATGACCACCTCCCTCTGGGCATGGTCCCACCAAGCCCCATGGCCGAGGTGAAGGCTGGGAATTCCACCCGGTTCATGCCCTGCTTTGGGATGGGTTGAGTTCTTGGAGGCGGTGGGAACCCGTCTGCTGCCTTCCCACCCCCCTCCCGAGTAAAGCCACAGATTCCTCCTTATTTTTAAGGCCAGAGAGATCATCTCGAGCTAAAATAGTCCCAGCAGCTCTGCTGGGAGCCTGGGACCTCTAACCCGACGGAGGTCCTGCCCTGGGAAGAGCTGGGTGTTCCCAGCAGGAGCACAGCAGTGCCTTTCTGGGTGGGGGACAGTGGCCAAAGGGGATTTCTCTTACCTGCTTTCCTTGGCTCAGTGTCAGGATTGATGAGGACCCGTTGGATCTTTACCACTTTCCACTCCTGGCTGGGGCTGGCTGTGGGGCTGTCTGCTGTGGGGGGCAGCTCTGGGGCAGAGCCAGGGCACTTGCAGGGGGCTGCAGGCTTTTCCGCTGAGGCCAGGCTGCTGCCCTCCAGTGTGGGATGTGGTGCATCCCCATTGAGCTCCCTCAGCTCCCTCAGCTCCCTCTGGAAGCTCCCACTTGATTTGCCTCCCAGCAGTCCAGTCCATCTCTGCTGCTCCCCTGGCTTTGAAGCAGAAATACTTTGGAGCTGATGGCATCTCTGCTCCCCTCTGCTCCCCCTCTCCTGCCAACAGCCAGTGTCCCCCTCAGCGTCCCCCTCGGCCATCCCACAGACACAGGGTGTCTGCTCAGCCTCGCCGGGCACAGGGCAGCCAGGCTGGGGGTGGAGGCAGGACTGCTGGAGACTTGCCCTCAGCATCCTCACCACTCTCCTTCACTGGCACTCCACAGCCTTGCCAACCCACTCTGCATGGCCAAGGGGCTGGATCCTCCCTGTCAGCCCCCCTCAGAGCACGGGCAGTGTCTGAGACAGAGGGAGCTGGGCACGAGCTCGGCTTTACTCTTCTTGCAGGCAGGAGGACCAGGCACGATGTCACCGGATCAGGCAACTTTCAGAGACCCAACAGGAGGGATCTGGCTGGGGAGACAGGTCAGCAGGAAGGATTTTGCAGGAATGTCTCTTTTTCTGCAGGCAGAGGACCAGCATCCAAGGACCTGTGTGAAGGGAAAGGGGAGCGTTGAGGATGCTTGTGCACACACTGATTTCCTATGGCCCCAGACATTGGAGCAGCTCCTGACAGTCTCAGCCTGAGCTCCAGCTCCAGCACTGCTCCCCATGAAGAAGGACTCCCTGAAATGCAAAGTTCATTTGGAAAGGCCCCCACCCCAAGTCCACCCCATGCTCACCACCCCAGGTCCCTCATCTATCCCTCCTCACCCTGGGGACAGCACCCAGGGAAGGCAGCCCTGTGCCCAACTCCCTTCCCTTTGGCAGCCCAGAGGTGGCTAAGGACACCCCGATAGTGGTGAGTGCTGGGGAACCATTGCAGTTCTGGAGCTGGGACCATTCAGGGAAGAATCCAGCCCCTGAGGATGTTTGTCAGGGTTATCAGGAACAAAAAGGAAAAATTTCCAGCATCCAGCTAACAAAACTGGGTTTAACCATTGAGTGACTCATGTGGCATCAGGACAAGAGCAGACAGACCCACTTCCCTCCTGTCGAACATAAATCCTGCTGGATGACGAACCCACGCACTGACACAGATGAGGTATCAGCTGGGAGAGGGGGATATCATCACTCCCAGGACAGGATATGGGTTACAGCCTACGGAAATTCCTGTGAGTCCTTTGCAGCCGCTCAGCACAGCATCACCCAGCCCTGCTCACAGCAAGGCTGGGTCCCAGGGAAGTGCCCTCTGCTGCCTGGAGACCCACAGCACCCAGGGCACACGGATCGGATCACGATGGATTTCCCAGCCCAACAGCCAGCTGGGGAGGAAAAGAGGTTTCTGTCCATCCCAGCTCCCTCCCTGAGTTATTGCAAGGTTTTTCAGTGAAATAAGAAAAGGCACCAGGTCAACATCGCAGGCTGAGCTCTGGCAGGAATACAGCCTGCAGCTTCCTTGAGGCTCACACAGCTTCTCTGCAAAACTCCCATCCTTAGCAAGGTTATTTTGGAAAAGAAGGCAGATTTGAAAGCAGGCACTTGGGCATTTCCCAAACACAAGGCTGCATTTTTTGGAGAATGCCCAAAGGAAATCTGCCCTTTCTGAAATCCTTCCTCCTGCCTTGCTCTGCTGCAATTATTCAACACAGATTTGCAAAGAAATCCTGGGGGGAGAATGTCAATGTTTCTCTCTGAAAAAGGAATCTCACCCTGTTCTTTACGTAATTTGGGGGCCCAATAGTTGCAGGGAGCCACCCACATCTTTCCTTAGAAACATGGCAAGTTGTTGGAGCTGGAGATAGCTGGGTTATCTCAAATGAGGACAAAGAGAAAGTTGCCAAAAATATCTCCAGCCCAGCCCAGGTCAGCAGAGATCCTCTCGGAGCGAGTCTGCATCTCCCCACTCCCATTCCCTCACCCTATCCCTAAGGAGTAGGTTTCTTGGGCAGCACAGCTCAAGCCCATCCTACACAGTAGCTGCTTTGATATTTTGCTGGGGAAGCTGGTACCTCCCTGAAAACCATCTTCCAAAGCCGCCCCCTTTCCTTTCGGGAGCGCTTTCTGCAAATGGGCATATCCTGGGGAGCGACGCCCACAGTGCCGGTGTTCCCCAGGCAAACCCCTCCTTGGTGAGACCTGAGTGGTGTTCCCCAAGGACACGCTGCTGGTACGGGGCCACCCACGCCACCAAAATATTGAGTCAGGCATCTGCTGCATCCCTGGGAGCCAGTCTGGGCCCGGCATGGTGGCAGGGAAACAGCAGCAGAGCTTTGGAGAGCAGCCACCCTGCCCCTGGGACACAGCTCCTGGGCTCTACAAGCAGCACAGAAAGGGAATATTTATGAGTAACGTGGATCTCTAGCAAAAGCTGCTGGGCTGATCCCACCTGCTGGAATACCGGCTGGGTAGGATGGGTATATATGCCTCGGGTGCACTGGCAAAGATGAGAAGCAGCGCCAGCCATGTCCACAAAACCAGGCTGAGATAGCCCCCATCTGCAAATGAAGATTGTAAAGGGGGATGAGGGTCATTTTGGGGACCATTTCAGGGGTGAAGCACCAAAGGATGCCTGTGTTGGGCACGGGTGCCCAGCTCACAGCCCCAAGAGCAGCTGCCCCCCTGCCCCTCTGAGAGGCTCCTCGTGCTTCCTGACAGCAGCAAGTCCCTGCGAGAAGCTGCAAAATTGTGCTGGGGAGGGAATAATAACAAAAAAAAAAATATCCCCTCTTCAATTCACAAAGTGCTGAAATCTGGCATCAAGAAGACCTTTTGCTCAGCTTCTCTTCCTGCCCACTCGCTGGCGGGTGATGCACAGCCCCCCCACCTGCCTTTCTCACACCCTGCCACCTCCCCTCCTATTGAAAAAAGGAAAACTAAAGTTAACTTTCCACATCCCACACAAATATTTTTGGCAGGCGTTGCTGGCATTCAGGCTGCTGAGCCCGGGGGAGACAGGGTCTGCAGAAAGGCTTCGTCTCCATCTGCTCGCAGCACCCGGCTGGGGGACCACGGTGCTTAGGCTGGTCTGTCCCAGATGCAGCGCAGGGCCAGGAGGTGGCACAGCTGTAGAACAGTGGGGTGCACCTCCAAGACAGCCCTGGGGACTGTGGGTGGCCCGGCCATGGAGTTGCCATTAAGTGGGGGGCAGATTTGCCCCCCAACTTGGGCTCTGGGTTTCCTGTGTTGTTCCCAGGCACGTCCCTGCCCCACGCTGGGTTTTCGTCATCATGAGACAAGCCAGGAAGGGGTGTGAAAGCTGTCCCCAGTGCAGCGAGGGCTCTCGGGTTTCCTGGGTCAGGCAGCGGGTCGCTGTCACTCAGGCAGGACGCTGCTGCCCAGACTTGCAGTCCCCAGCTCCAGTCACAAGATCAGCCCTGTTCCTTTCCAAAATAGCCCAGTCGCAATGTATACATCCAGGGAGCTTTGCACCTCCCCTAAGCCAGCAGCTGAATGTCCCCTCAGGGGAGCTGGGCACCTTCCTTCCCCACGTGGCACCTTCTCCTCGTGGCACCTTCCCTCAGTGGCACCACAGACAAGGAGACTGGGTGGCCGCATCCCCCAAGGGCAACCCCACATCCCTGAGTTCCTGTTTTTCTGTTAGGGAGTGCTGCCCTCACAGCTGACACCGGAGACACCTCTGGGGTGTAGCCGTCACCCAGTGGCATTTGGCTGCCCTGTGTGCGCACACTCTCCCATCTGCTGCAATCCAATATCCCTCACAGCTCCCTGGATACCTGGCCAGGACGGCCGGGCTGTGTGCTGAGGGGGAGGCACGGCTGAGCTGCCTGTGGGGAGACTCCCTTGCACAAGGACCCCACCACTAAACCCCAAAGCCGTGCATGGCTGGGGCCAGTGTGGTGTCACCCTGTGCCACCCTGATATCCTTCCACAGGACAGCACTGGCACTTCCAGCAGGGAGGGGATGGCAAGAGGAGGGACACAGCTGGGCTGTGCAGGATGGATGGAGGGAAGCCTTCTCCATGGGGGTTCAGTGCCCAGGGAAGGTGCACAAGGAAACTGGGATGGGATGGGATTGATTCCCTTGGCATGACAAGATGGACCCTGTCCCTGGAGCGATCCCTGGGAGTGTGGACAAGGATGGCTACATCCTGGCTCCCGCAGGCGAGGCCAGGGCTGGCAGGCACAGCAGCCGTCAGCGTGCTGGGGAAAACAAAAGCCTTTTGCAGCGCTGATTTACTACCTTGACGGAAACCGGGATGGAAAAAACAACATTCCTGAATGCCTGTCCCCGTGCAACCCCTGCGGTCCCCACTGCCCCAGCCTGCCTGGGGGGTCATGGGCTGCCGGTCCCGGCAGGTGGGTGCCCTGTGCCCTCATTCCCTGCCCGCATCTGGTGGGGAGAGGCAGCAGGAGGAGAACCAGGGGTGGCACAGGGGCATGAGGGGAGTTGTCCTGATTAAGCAGTGAGCAAAGCAAGGGAGGAGGAGGACAGTGGCATCCTGGCCAGCTGGACCATGTCCCCTCCCTGTCCACCCCATGCTGGAAGGAAGAGCTGGATGTGGGCTGATTGTATCCCTCTGCACCCTGCATGGTTCCTCATGCCAGCCCTGGGCTTGTCCCTCCAGGCTCGGGGAGAAGTGGAATTCTCCCTGGGCAGCTCTCCTTTCTGCTCCAAGGCATTGGGAAGGCTAAGAGGGGGCTGGGGAGCAGGATGGGGGGCCCTTGGAGGGCAGCACAGTCCAGGCTGGGCTGGACTGGGGTGGAATGCATTGTGTACCCCAGCACAGACACTCCAGCCCAGCCCCAGCAGGTGTTTTCCCCTGCTTCACCACTCCCACAGGGGTTTTGGTCAGGTTTTGGTGCTCAGCACACCCACTCACTTCCTCAGCCCATCTCCCAGCCCCAGTCTGGGGGCTCCAACAAACCCCGATGCTCCACTGGGATTTGCATCCATTGAATATCAGCCTGTGCACTCCAGCCAAGCAACACTTATCCTGCTCTGCTCTCCTGGCTGGGTTCAGAAGTAAATCTACTCCCTCCCATCATCCCTAAGGGGCCCATCTGACCTGGGGGTCCCAACCAGACAATCCTGGGAGCTGCCCGTTCCCTGACTGCACAACACAGTCCCACACAGGGCAGGTCCCAGCCTGTCCTGCCCTTTGCTCAGCTTGAACCCTGACCCCAGCTCCAGCTGCTGC